TACGTGATTAGCTTGCGGTCGCTTCTGTGGTTATAATCTCATTGGCGCGTATTTGGCCCTGCAGCTCCACTTGTGTTCGAAGATATGTCTCAGCTTCTTTTCGTTGCAGATACGTTTGTTCGGATAGGTCGAAATTCCTGTCATGACGAATTCTATGTAGAGGGATCAGACAAACAGTCGGCGATATGGCTTTCAGTAGAGCAGAATGTCAGATTGGCAACAATTACCATAATCGTTTAAGAAATAGTGGAATAATCTCAGATGTCTTATATAATGAAACATTGTTAAGCAAACAACTAAAAATTGTAAATAACGTCTTACACTTAACACTGCTAATTATTAGCAGACCTGAAGACGTGAATGGTTTGAAAATGGCTATTCTCTAACCTGGACCATGACTGTTTCGTGGAAAAATCTAAGGTATCGAGCATTGCTTTATTTCTTACTGTAGATTACGTTCTAGTTGTGTTCCAACAATTCATGAATTTGCACTCTTGTTTATCGTCTACTAGACTATTTTTATTTTAAGCCAATTTTAATCCTTTTAGGGAAGGGCCCCAGCCATCCATTTTCTTACCCACCACGGATAGCTTTTTTCTCTACCATTCTTAGGTAGGACTAAAGCACAATTCTTCTAACATTTAACAACTTCCTCTCTTACGTAACTGTTTGCCCCTGAAATTGATGGGAATATGTTTTAAGCTTTTTGAAAGCAATGTGAAAGGAATATTCACTACTAGCATGTATAACAATTAGAGTAAGTAATTTAGGGACCACGACAACAATGAGTATTGTAGCGAAAAAAGCCAACGACCATCCACCGGCTGCTTCGATGCTATGAATACCGTGAGGTTTCTAGCCTTAAAATGAATCATTTGGATGTAAACACTTTGAGCACACCGAAGAAAAGTTACCTCTTCTGGCGTCCAGCCGTTCCTCGGTACCTGGATGCACTGCTTGTTACGGAAAAGTCGACCCGAACGCGCATTCCATCAATCCGCGCATCCCTCAATTCTTCCCTTGCCTAAACGAAAGCTATTCTAATGCTATTTTCAGTTTTACAAGCACGGTTTTTTAAGGAAACGAACCGTTGCGGCATCCCGTGTTCTGAGGTAGTAAACGAAGCCAAACCCGCGGCTCCTCCCAGTTACATGGTCCCGTACAATTTTGATCTGAACTACAATCTTCAATCAGTTAATATTGGCATATGCTGAGCTGTAGACGAACATAATCGATTTCTCCAAATTCTTGGAATATACTTTCCAGATCTCGTTCTGACGTGTCAACGTTCATTCCGAATATTCCAATACATCTGAATTCAAATCTTATAGGAAATAATTAAATACTGATAGCTACGAGAAAGATTAAGATGTATCATTTAAGGGGTATTTTATGTAGTATGGGAAAGTGAATATGCAATTTCAAACAGGCTATGATTGTAATGTTTAAAAAGAAGATTGGAAAACGAACCAGAAGCTTCAACATTTTCTAGTGATGATTTAGAGTTACTGGCAACAATGTTCAGAAACGATTCTCGTTTATATTTCTAGCTATGAATTGCAATCACATTTTCTCTAATGAACTGGAGACCGAAAAATCTCCACGGTTATCGATGTCGTGCTTCTCTTTTTTTAGTAAATTTTCTTTTGCAAATTTGTAGAAATTATGTAGTACTGACCTGCATGGACGAGGATCTTCCCGCCCATCGCGATACCTTGTCAATCGGCTCATGGATTCGCGAAATCGTGAGGGCGAATGGCTGGAAGAATTTGACGAAGTGACGTCAATTTGTAGTTTCTACTGCACGATGTCCCGTAGATTGAAAAGTTACAAATCAAAAGCAAAAACATCATGGCAAAAAAATCTGGGGAGTTCCTTTTTGTCGACTACGAGACAACCTGCGCCTGTACATGATGCACTCGTCACTCTTGGCCAAAATCCGTAGCACACAGTGCATACAATCACCACGAAATATTTTACCATGTCCAGATGTCAGTTGACCATTTGGTATTGAAACTTTTTGTTATTGATCCGAATTGAATTGTATTTTGATTTATGGTGAGATTTGTTATGAGATGCTTGGTTTGTGACGAAATCCCTGTGAGACTCCAGTTTTTTCCTACATTTGATTCGTTTCTTTGCGATAATTCGGCCACACCCTAGTTCAAAACAGGCGTTGCGTATTGATGGAATAATTGAGGAAGCAACACAGGCTACTGCGAATCGCTATCGCACCCTGGAACGTCATTAGGCGGTTATATAGGCAATAACGGTCTACCGTTTTCGAGTTTGAGTATAAAAAATGGAGCTTGATGTGAATAGTTGTCAAAAATACCTGCTCTCCCGATGTCGCTTGGTTTCAAGATGTCTAGCGCTGTGCGGCGGAGTTCGCGATTCGCTGCGAGAATCTGTACGTTGTCTCTCAATTCGCATGTATGCATTATCGCGCGATAGTTTCCTCTCTTTTGGCTTGATGTCCTTCAAAGTGTAAGATCTGAACGAGTAAGTCGGACTTAGGCTTACTGGGAATGGAGCAGCACAAGCAAGAAAAGCATGACATTTTCTGTCATTCTTAGGCCATTTTTGCTTCTAGCAAAACGGGAAATGAGAGCTCTAGTAATCAGAATTATGCTAGCTGTCCCTAATCTAAAGAATGCACCTTTGTGATGAATGCGTACTCGAACAGCCGTGTCCGGAACGGCGTTTCCGATGTTGTGGGGTCGATGGTCTCTGGAGCAGACCTACCTAAACGGTTCAGCTTGATTATCTTTGTTTTTTGTCTATGTGCGTACACGCCCTTTATATATGTATTACTAGATAGCTACCACGTCTCTTTGGCTTTCCGGTCTATCCATTTCCTGGAGAAGTGAAAGTATAGCCTCTTTATTCGCCAGAAGAAACGATTGCAACCCTGAAAAAATTGCTCGTTAAAAAACACAATCCAAAAAGTTCATGCTCATTACCACTACTCTTACTTTTTACAATTAAAACTCTCTAAAACATCTCACTTAGAGGACTAATTTAAAAAGAACTAGTTGTGAATTCAAGCATTTCGGAGATATTCAATATTTCGCTCTTGAATAGATGACTGTCAGATGCAGGCTAACAAAAACGACGCCGACAGGAGAATACATGTTGTTGTGCGTTTTATATGAAGCTTGGATTTGCATGACAGCTTCGAGAATTGATTGATTTCGTCCCTGCCCAAGAACTTTCCATTAGAAACGCGCTGATTCTCGTGAAAACAGTTCGACTTTTCATTATCGCCTTCTGTACAAAGAAATAGGAAAAATGTTGTTCCTTATTGGAAAAGGCACTATGATTAAGTTAGATTCTTCAACTCCTCACATAAAAGGATAGCCTTTGGATGGAATACAATGAATTATTATTTAAGTAACTCGCTATTTTTACCCTCATAAGTCCTTAAAGTTGAGGTGTATAAGGTAGAAAGTTTTGTTAACAATTTAAGAAACAGAATTTCTGAAGATTCCCTCTATGCGATGAACGTGCTTGGCAAGGTGTATGTTTGTAGACTATAGGAGTGATATATTGGTCAGTGCAGCGGTAGAACAGGAACAGCTCGCCACATATGTCGAGTGATGAAATAAAAATCAGTTGTGAACTTTTTTGATTTTTTGGAAACTAGGTCAGATTCACTGCTAGAATCAGAAATTCAACTTGTGTAGCAGAGATTCAGCTCAATAATTTTATATCACTAACATGCTTTTGAGTCGTATCTGCAAGTTGATATGAACTCAACATGTTGTCAAATTCACAAAGTTAACTGCCTAATTGCTCCATTGGGGAAGCTACAATAGAGCTCGTGCAACAGAACTAAATTGTAATTAGCAATCACCTTTTCCAGTATGACTGCAATCCCATAAGCGAAATTTAAAATTTGAAAGTTTTTTTCAATGATTGAAGAGTTGAAATATTCTAGCAGCTATGGAGAACAACTAACCGCAGAAGTTTGTTCGATTTGAAGTCAGCGTGCAAAAATTTTTAACTTCTTTTACGAAACAGGTAGTCCTTTTAGTGGTGGCGGTTGCTATGTTGTTCGAATAGAAAAAAAAACGCTGTTATAGCAACCTATTCGTAATAAATGAAACTCATAAATGGAACTCTGCCTATTTCACTCGAACTTATTATTTTATACGGTTTTGAAGTAGAA